AAAAGAAACTAACAAATTTCTCTAATTAGAGACTTACCTCTGATCTGAGATTCCAAGGTTTATAGATTTTAGATCGTCTACAAAGGTAAGTAAATATTAGTTTGATTTTTTAAAATTAACAAAAAATACTAAATAATTCTTTATTAGAACTTACCTCTGATCGATTTCAATCCAGAGCTTTAAGAATCTGGATCATCCTACAAAGGTAAGTTTAGTGTTAGATTTTAAAGATTATAAAAAAAAGAAACTAACAAATTTCTTCAATAGAGACTTACCTCTGATCCAAGATTCCAAGGTTTATAGATGAATATTAATTTTTATTTTTAAAAAAAATTTAAAAAAAAATACTAACATAGAGCTTACCTCTGACTTAATGCCTCAAGGATTTGGATTGGTCTGCAAAGGTAAGTGAATATTAGTTTTATTTTTTAAAAAAAAATTAAAAAAAAATAAATTAACAAAAAAAATTTTGTTAGAGCTTACCTCTAACTCAATGCCTCAAGGATCTGGATCAGTCTACGAAAGTAAATGAATATTAGTTTTTATTTTTAAAAAAAATTAAAAAAAATACTAATATAGAGTTTACTTCTGACTCAATACCTCAAGGATCCAGATCGGTCTATAAAGGTAAGTGAATATTAGTTTTTATTTTTAAAAAAAGTTAAAAAAAAAAAAAAAAATACTAACAGAGCTTACCTCTGACTCAATGCCTCAAGGATCCAGATATTACATCTGATGATGTTGAACCCTATGGAGACAGGGCACATCGTATAAAGTTAAATCAAAACTGGTGATAAAACTGAAGATTATATCATGACTGATGAAAATGAGGAAGATAAACCTGGAACAGGTGGTAGGGAAAGACGTGGAAAAGGAGAAACTTAAAAGATCCGGATCGGTCTACAAAGGTAAGTTTAATATTAATTGATTTTTATTATTAATAAAAATTCTCCATTAGAACTTATCTCTGATTGATTCCAATCCAAGGCTTCAAGGATCCAGACTGTTCTACAAAGGTAAGCTTAGTGTTAGTTTTTTTAATATTATAAAAAAAAGAAACTAATAAATTTCTCCAATAGAGACTTACTTCCGATCCAAGATTCTAAAGGTTTATAGATTCTGGATCGGTAAGCTTTTTTAAAAAATTAAAAAAAAAAATATTAAAAAAAATTCTGTTAGAGCTTACCTCTGTCAATGTTTCTAGGATCCGGATTGGTCTACAAATATAAGTAGTATATTATTAGTATTAATGTTATTAGCCTTTTTAAATAATAAAAAAAATTTATTAACAAATTATTCTTTAAAACTTACCTCCGATTTGACTTTAGAATTTCAAGATTTAGGTTCATTCTACAAAGTAATTCTAGTTTTTTTTTTTTTTAAAAAAAAAATGTTATTATTTTTAAATAACTTACTCCGATCAAACTTCAGATCGGAGTCCTAAAAAAATAAATTCTAAAAAAAAATAATATACAGTGTGACAAAAGTCTAGACATTTGATCATCTGAATAAAGTTAGTATAGTGGAATACAAACCATATGTGATTTTGTGAGATAATATATAAACAAAATCTTTTTTTAATTATTTGTCGCTGAATTAATTTTTTTTTTCTAACGATGGGTGGCCAAAATATAATTAAGTCATATAATTCACACATAAAGTTATAAAACATTTTTGGGATAAAGGAATTATAAGTGTAAGTATAATTTAAAAATACAAACATTCCAAGGTCTACGATTTATTATAATATCAATAAACTTAAAAAAACTGGATCTCAATTCTGTAGAAAACTCGTGGAGTATCATAAAAGGAAATGTAGAAAAACAACAACCAAAAAATTTAGCAGAATTAGAACAATTTAAGATGGAAGAATGGAATGATATTCTAAATGTGATTCTTATTAATTTA